AACAAAGCACTTTGTTTCAAAGATGGAGATATGATACTGACAGGCTATGTAGATGCTGACTTAGCCGGAAATGTTGACATCAGAAGGAGCACTACAGGGTATGTCTATACTCTAGGAGGTACTGCAGTGAGTTGGGTTTCTCAACTACAGAAGATAGTTGCTCTCTCCACAACTGAAGCAGAATATGTCGATGTTACGGAAGCCAGCAAGGAGATGGTTTGGCTCCAAAGTTTCTTGGAAGAGTTAGGCAAGAAACAAGAAAACAATGTTTTGTATTGCGACAATCAAAGTGTTATCCATCTAGCAAAGAATCCTTCTTTTCATTCCAGAACGAAGCATATACAATTGAGATATCATTTTATTCGGTCTCTTCTGGAAGATGGGATTTTGAAACTTGAAAAGATTAGTGGAGCTCAAAATCCGGCAGACATGTTGACAAAGACGGTGACCATAGACAAACTGAAGTTGTGTTCAGCTTCAGTTGGCATGCTAGAATAACAAGACTAGAAATGTTGCTGCACTGATCGAGGTGTGAAGACATATTAAAATCAGTCTTCAAGTGGGAGATTGTTGAAAGTAATCAAATGTGGGACCCAACTGAATTGTTTTCAGCAGAAATTTTCAAAATTGGGGGCACAGCACATTCATTTTCAGCAAAAGGGGCACCGAATTCGGTGCCCTAATATTTTATTGAAATTGTAAATGGGTTAATTACCTTTTTAGCCATTGCACACTTTAGGGTATTTACAAGATTAGTCCTAAGCTTCAACTATAAATACCCTAGCTCATTTAGCTTTAAAATCATCCCAAAATCTTCTAGTTCTCTATCAAGTGTGTTGTGTAAACACCTATAAATTTTCTCTTAGTAAAATATCTGTAGCAGCCCGGAGACGTAAGCACAATTGGCTGAACTCCGTTATCAATTTCGGGTATTATTTTTCCGCTTTTATTTCGCATTCTCACTAATCTGATTATAGGGAAATTACTCGTACTCGGTTTATTTCCTAACACATCGGAATTCCACCGTGATATCCGACTTTCGCGTGATCAATAGAAGAACCTTGCTGCAATGTCCTGATCCGAATCCTTTTCTCGAAATTAATGTTAGTATTCAAACATTTGACGTATGTTTCAAACTTTGAATAAATGCAGCACCGGAGATTGTCTGGGAAGTAAATCATTTTACGTGCAAACTGGTGACATTAGTGACCTCCCTCTTCTTTGCCATTATCCTGTCAAGGTACGCAAATTTTGGTATTATTGAATAGCTCAAACCAGAAAGAAAAGGAATATTTTCATTAATTGCTTTCATGGTGTTAAGTTGCCAACTTTATATATATATATGATATTTTATATTAAAAATAGGGTGAGGCGAGGTGTGAACAAGAAAAACTTTTAATCATATACTTTAGAGTTTGTTGATATTTATTTTCTAATTACTTAAAGAATTAAATTAAAATCATTCATCCTTAGACGGTGTACTAGGAATTAAATTGATATTTAAATCAATCATATCATTCATCTTTAATTTAATTCAATAATGATTAAAAATTAAAGCAGATTAAATCAAAAATTAAAAACTTCAATTAAAGTAAACTACAAGTTTTTTATTTTACATTAATATTTTAACCGATGAGGTCATCGATCCTTGGTTTAATTAGATAAATAGAAAATTATACTAATAAAAACTACAATTTAATCATATGAACTAACCAAACCAAAACCCTTTCATACCCTTTGAATCGGGCGTTACAAAAGTCATTTTCATGAATATCTGTCCATGATTTAACGATCTTCACCGGTGTTGTGATGGATATCGTCATATAATTATAAAATGAATGTGAAGAAAAGATGTTGACGTGAAGTGATGATTCGGTAACAAGAGACGTAGCTTAAAGGGAAAAGGAAGCATTGATTGTAGGCTTTATTAGGGAAGGACTTCATTCCAATTCATACCTCCATAACTAAAGGATATACTTATATAATATATCATCGTTTTTTCAACCAAACGATCTCAGTGGTTAAGGGATAGTTGTTATCTTTCGAGTTTTCAGATTTGAGCATGATGTCTATGGGGTGTTTGAGCCTTCATTGTCAAATGTTGAATCTTTAAAACAAATACTACCCTATAATCACTCTATATTAATAAGAAAATATATATATCTAAGAGTTTGCAGGCAATATATGCGAGCAGCGATCCAGACTATCTAAGTTGCGAGAAGAAAGAATGCAGAAAATATAATGAAAACGGAAGATGTGAGATCAGAACATGCAGTGCCACCGTAACTTTTTATGTCATAAACATAAGAACGGACATCGAATTCGTGTTCTTCGCCGGTGGCTTCCTTACCCCTTGCATTTTGAGGAGGACCCTTCCCTTCCAATTTTCTAATCCCACTGCGCCACTCTATGGACATCTCTCCACCTTTGATTCATCTGGAACTTCGGTAATTACACCCCCATGCATGCATGGAACATCAGTATCTGATTCATATTGGAACAATGGTTTCCTAAATATATGAAAACATTCAAGAAAATTTTAATATATTTGTATTAGACATACTTATATCTGACACTTATCCGGAGTTCAAATAACGAAGTCGGGTAATTTTGTTATAATGGTGCAGATGAGGTTAACATGGATAAGTGGGGATAGTAAGCCTCAGCGAGTGAATTATAGGAATGGGAAATCACAGATATCAGAAGTTACAACTTTTTCTCAAGAAGATATGTGTAGTGAGTTCCAAATTAGTATTACTCTTTCAAGATCATCATATTCATTGCTTAATTTAGTTTCGTGAATGATTTCTTCATGTGTGGTTGAATGATAGGTTCTCCTTTTATTCCAAGTCCGGCCTAGGATTTCGGGTGGCATGACCCTGGTTATATACACACGGCAGTGATGACAGGACTCCAACCTTCAACCATCTCCAACTACAAATATGGAAGGTACACACATATTAGGAACATGATTATATGGTAATTTGAATAGTTCCACTCAAAATTTGTTGTTGATACAAGCTTGGTAATGGTAGTGGGGTGACATTTTGATCCTATAAAGGTGAAAGACATTCAGAAAATTGCTAATAGGAAGAGAATTTGAGGGTTTCAAGTCTTTGAAGCAAATTATTCTTGTATTTTATGATTCAGTGATGCAGTTGGATGGAGTAAAGAAATTGAATTCCATACACCACCAGCTGGAGGATCAGATGAACGTAATTTTTTTATTTTTGGTGACATGGGAAAGGCTCCTTTTGATGCTTCTATTGAGCACTACATTCAGGTAAAGATATAATTCAATGTGATATTAGTTCTACAAAATGTATTTTAAAATTTTAAAAGTTTTTTTATTTAAATCTGAATAAACTTATAATTAGAATTTCGAAAGATTTGTGTATACCTGAAAGAGAATTTGAATGGGGCAAAATATATGCTATCACTGTAATGCGCTAATGTGGCTTATAACATTGTGGTACAGCCAGGATCTGTATCAGTGGTAAAAGCAATGGAAGGAGAAATTAAAAATGGCAGCATAGACTCCATATTTCACATTGGGGACATAAGCTATGCAACAGGCTTCCCAGTTGAATGGGAGTTTTTCCTTAATCTTATAAGCCCGTTAGCTTTTACGGTTTCCTACATGACGGCGATCGAAAATCATGAGAGGTAACATTTCTGGCGTATTAGCAGATCCTATTAATGAATGGAAACTTCAGCTTCTCTTCAACAATGGCAAAGTTAACATCCCCACATTTCAGGGATTATGCAGGTTCAGGGGATCATTATCTGAATGAGGACTCCGGTGGAGAATGCGGAGTTCCTCACGAGACCTATTTCCAAATGCCAACCGCAGCAAAGGATAAGCCATGGTATGCCATAGAACAAGGCCCCGTTCACTTCGCTGTCATTTCAACAGAACACGATTGGACCCAAAATTCTTAGCAGGTTTCTAATGATATTACACTTTATTTAGATATATGTATGTATACCAGTATATGTAATTGACATGGTTTCAAAATTTTCATAGCACCAATGGATGACAAAGGACATGGCGTCCATTGATAGATCGAAGACACCTTGGCTAATCTTTACAGGGTGAGTTAAGGTCTGATCGATCAAATTCTATGATTATTTGCTAAGATTGTTACATCAGCTGCAATATTTGCAAAATGCAGCCATAGGCAATGTATAGCAGCACTCTAGGCAACGTTGATGACTCGTTCCGTAATGTTGTAGAACCAGTCCTGGCTAACAAGGTAAAATTAAATTTCCTTATGAGTTTCATCATTTGTCGATCGATTCGGTTGTTGTTTGAGGCAGCGAGTGACTGGGGTTTGAAAACAATGAACTAGGTCGATCTCGTCCTTTTCGGACATGTTCATAACTATGAGAGGACTTGTTCCATTTCCAACTGTCAGTGCCTGGCAATGCCAGAGAAAGATGAAAATGGGGTAGACACGTATGATAATGGTAACTACAAAGCACCAGTGCATGCTATTGTTGGAATGGCTGGATTCAGTATCCAGAAATTCTCACCATTTGTAAGCCGATGATTGAACATTTCGTCTGAATAGAATATTATTTGGTTAAACCAGAGAAAATCACGGCATGAAATTATGGTTGATGAACAGGTATCAGATTGGAGTTTGATAAGGATATCTGAATATGGTTATGTTAGAGCACATGCAACAAGGAATGAGCTAATGCTTGAGGTCGGTAACATGCTAATCTTGTAATAAATGCATTTCCCTTTTTCTTTTTGTTGCTAATTCGTGGATTTATTCACCTTTTGCAGTTTGTGAATTCAACAAGCAGAAGTGTCATTGACAGCTTCCACATCACCAAAAACTAAATATTATGAAAACATTAATTTATAAGATAAATAGTTAGTAATTTAATTGTTGTACGTTTAATATAAGAGTTTAGCAAAAGGCAAAATAGTAATTTAATGGAAACAAATCTTATTAGTACTTCAAATAAACAACGATTCAGCCAAATATTTAAATGAAGACAAATCTTATTTCGATTTTACAATATCAAAGAGATGCGCCAAAGTGAATTCAACCCCAAACAAACCGAGAAATATTCTTACTAGCAACTGAGCTCACCACGTTGTTACTCTGCTTCCTAAGCATCTCTTCTTGTGCACAGACATCACCCTCCTTCCCAAGCAACAAATAATGGACCAATGTGAGAATTCATAGACAAACAAAAATTCAATGAACAAAAAAATGCAAATCCGTAGAGAAATTTGGCAGTGCGTTCGATTCAAAATCAGAGCCCGACAATTCAATTTCCAGTGACTCGTAAGTCAAGATTATATTGCATCAATCCATTTTCAGTGTACGTATGTATGCATGTAGTTATGTAGGCATATGTGCATGTTTGCACGCATGTATGTATTATCATGGGCATAAAATGTTCAGGTAGACCAGGTTAGGTCTTAGGGTTCTATAACTTTTAATTCTACTTTTTAAACTACGAACTAAAGGCACTCTTTTTATGCAGTTGGATGACTTGGTTGTGAACTTGTGATGCGGATGCCTCTTCTTAAACTCGGAAGTGCAAATTCCTAGCCTAACAACCATTAATTTTCTCATATAGAGTTCCCAGCTCCAACATAGAAAAAGGAATAAGGGTACTCACAAGAAGAGAGTAAGCATGTGCAAGAGACACTAATGTTGGATACAAATCGACAACAGCTATGGCAACTTCCTCAGTTACCTGTGACACCTGTAGTTAAATGATACAACGAGTTACCAACAAGGTCAAACATTTGACAACGACCATCTATTTTTTATAGTTTGAAGGGTATTCAAGTAACGCATCAACATAATTATTTATGCCCCCAAATGAACCAGGTTCATGGTTAGCATGTAAATCCCACATGTTAGAATCAGCCGTGTAGAAATCTTGTTTGTTCAGGAATCTTTTATGATAAGAAAGGACAAGTCTTAGGTGTCTTTGTAATCTCTATCTCAAGAAAGAATTTTATCTCTAGCAGAAAAGTCTTATTAGAAGTCAGCAACTCAGTTTATACTACAATAATCTCCTAAATTCAATAATCAGATTTCTCTTTGATTACCTTTTTTATTCTTTCCCTCTCCTTCTATTTCCTTTGATTATAACACTAGATATCCACAATGGAACGATAAAACGAAGTCTTTAATGTAATATCATCCAGCAAAGTAGACAATCAAATATTAAAAGGATAAGACCAACATCCTAAAGCAGATTATCAAAATCTATTGCTAACTAATATAACCATATTAGAGAAGATTATGCTAGTTCCAGGACATCATATAATCAGGCTACATTATTACAAAACAATGAACTTCCCTTAATGAAAGAACAGCTATACCTGCATAAGTTGAATGGAAAATACATCACTGACTGTCACTTTATCCAGCTCTTGGCACCTTCGGATAAATTCACTAAAGGAGGGACAGACCCCATTCAATCTAGAATCATCCTCAGGCATGTGCTGTTTGTAATATTGAGTTATTGCTCGAGTAAGATAAGCATACTTCCTCAGGGTATCATGTAAACCGCTTGTTCTCTGAACATCAAACCCCTCTAGAATCTCTGTTGTGAAGCACCTGCATAAAGTAAGAAAAGAGTAAGGCTAGAAATATAATTCTTTGGCACCCAAGCATTTGGGGCTTGTGGTTGGTGCATGATCTCCCTTATCAAAGAATAAGGCCCAATTACCCCAATTAAACAATTAAAACACCCTAGAAAAATCCTTTTGAAATGACAATCTCATAGGAACTCGGGGGAGGAGGGATTGGTTTCCCTTCACTATTACAGAAAATCAGCATAGTTCGATTTTTAGATGTAGGACTGATTACTCTCTCTAAAAATAACATTCCAGAAATATACAGCAAGGAGACAAGTTTTAATATGCAACACCAAATGCTCCTTTTGTGAAGTAAAAGATGCATACTAAAACCTAGTTGAAAGAAAACTCATCGCTAAAAGCATATCTTTTAAAAATCTTACGCAGTTTTGATGCTTTCAGCAGCTTCTGAAGAATTTGGGTCACCTTCCACAAGATATATCAACTTTTTAAGTCCAGATCTCTTACAAAATGCAAAGGAAAAAAATTGTCACGATGGCATATTTTTATCAAACTTAAGTTGAGAAGTAAGCATAAACAAAAACTTGCAGCAACTCTAATAAAATATATATTTGAAGATAGAAGCGCAAAGGACTGGCCTACAGAAGAAAAGGTTAGAGTGACTAGCAATCCATTAAACAATTTCAAAGTTAAAATAATTGGTTGAGAAGACCATGCAAAAGACATGCATCAAGTTGCTAGAACAACAACGTGTCTGGAAACTAGCACAACTTAAACAAACATAATACAAGTGATGCCATAAGGAAGAAACCAATGATAAATCCCAACCAAAACAAACCAACATACAGCGATGACTCCTTAGGAAAAGAATAAGGAAAAAGAAAATCAAGGATCCCTAAAGGCTAATGACTTCTGGAAAATTTATGTTTATGAGAATTGTTTAATAATGGTAATCCATCTTAAGGCCATAAACACTAAACTTTGAAGTCAACATCAACTAAAACATGAAAACACCTTCATGATAATTGCAACTTCAAAGGATCTGGTTATAAGCATTTTTTTATAGGAATAGGAGACCTCATTAAAAACCTCCCTCTTAGTGGTCCTTAACCCTATGGTAAGAACCAACTAGCGGAAGGAGGACAAGAGTGTCTCAATTTTGTTGATTTCAAACGGAGTACATAAGACTTAACAGAACTCCTAAGAGTTACATAAAACTTAACAAACACCAAAAAAAAACCCTACTGCTAAACACTCAAACCCAGGGGAACACAAATAACCATCACCCAATTCCCTCCTTAGCTAGTTTGTCAGCCTCGCAGTTACAGCTCCTAGGAATCCACCTCACAATAATATCATGCAAAGATACAACAGACATTAAGTCCTTAACAAACTGACTTAGGAATGTAGGAACTGTGGCTTGATCAAGAATCCAATCCACTGCTTGCTTGCTGTCACTTTCCACAATCAGTCTCCCCTTCGAAACCCAAACCGAGGCGACAAAGACTTCAATGCCTTTCTTGATAGCTTTCAATTCTGCTAGAATTATAGGATTAGGACCAACATTCTGTGAAAAGGAAATAAGCTCAGATCGATTCCAATCTCGCATGATACCCCCAATACCAGCACTCATCCCGGTTCTACTAACTGCTCCATCCACATTCATCTTATAAAAATCAATAGGAGTCCAACATACCTTAGGCGTATTCAACTCCTTAAAAACCGAAAGATCATCAGCAAGTGAAGGATCACCAATCAAACAATCCACCTGAGTAGAGAAATTCGAAAACTTTGCTAGGAACCATTTTGCTAATCTGAACCGAACAGTGAAGAACAACATGAACCTGTCTAGTTTAACTTTTTCAAAAATTATTTCATTTCTGATTTTCCAAATCGACCATAAGACTGCCCCTGGAATTAACTTCCACAGAGTTGAATAAGGCCTCAAATCAGACCAAGAGCTTAGAAGGGATTGTGGATCACCTGGTAAAACTGACAAAATACCCCAAAAGGCAATTACTCTGTTCCATAAGTCCCACGAAACCTGGCAAGCAATAAAAAGATGTTGAACATATTCTTCACATGAATTGCATAGAGAGCATAGAAAATCATCCCCAATTGGAACCCCCATTTTCTTCAATTCCACTCTCACTTCAACTTTTTTATGAGATACTTGCCAAAGGAAAGCCTCGATTCTAGGAGGGACTAAACCCAACCACACACATTTATTCCACTGAAAAGAAACATCTTTATAAGCTGAAAGAGACTTCCTGCACTCCTTAACCGAAAACAACCCCTCACCTGCATCGCCCCAAAGTAAACAATCCTCCACTGAATCAATTAATTTAATGTCTTTAAGTAAATCCAGAAGCTCTACCAACTGATCTCCTTCCCAATCACAAAGATTCCTTCTAGTCTTTATATTCCACTCCCAACCATTCGAATCAAAACTACCAAAATCTGCAACATTACACATTTTGTTTGAAGATAGCGCATAAATCCTAGGGAAAAGGACTTTCAAAGGTAAATCCCCTTACCATACATCATTCCAAAAGGAAATCGAAATGCCATTCCCTACTTGTAACTTAGCTTGGGATCTAAGGCAACCTCCAATAGAATCATCTTTGGTGAAGTTATTCACAATTCCCCTCCAAATCCAAGAGTCCTTGGGAGAGTGGACCTTGGAAATATCCATAGAATGGCAGCTAACATTGTGTTTGGTACAAACGAATCTCTTCCATATCGAATGCTTCTCATTAGCAAACTTCCAAACCCACTTTCCCAACAAAGCTCGATTGGTAAGATTCAAATCAGCAACTCCCGAACCTCCACCACTTATCGGAATACAAATCTTGTTCCAACCTACCCAATGCAGCTTCTTCTTTTCATTCCCTCCACCCCATACAAAGGCTGCCATCATAGAATTTAGCTTTTGACAAATAGATGATGGAATCTTGAATAAAGAAAGATAGAAGATAGGTAAAGAAGACAACACTGATTTGATGAGAACCAATCTACCCGCCAATGACAAAGAAGAAGCTTTCCACATTAGAATCAACAGGGACTTTAGTAATTGCGAACATTTCAAGCAACAGATCAGTTATGAAACCAAAATCAAGAAATATTGAAATTAAGAATCAATACCAGAAGCTTTAGTTTCTGATCCCTGTAACGATTGTCCCGTATCGAAGAGCGTAAATCATTAACATTCTTCCTCTCAACAACAAAGTCTAGAACATATTCATTGGAGAGATGTTTATGGCGAGCTATCTAGATTCCATCTCCTATAGGCAACCTTCTAACCTGGAGAAGAGTCGCTGTGTAAATAACTGTATTTTTAATGTCATGTAGAAATACCAGCAAAGAAACAAGAATTCATATGTCAACTACAAGAGACAGTTCACTGAGAAATTTAGTAGAAATTCAGGCTTATTAACAAAACATAAATATGCCTAATTTTAAATATTAGCATTGGCAATTTTATTAGTAATAGAAAAACAAAGATAAGATAAAAATTTGCCCTGAACCACTAAATGTATATAAGAAAATTGACAGCTAATAGAAAACATGGAGTTTAGGCCAATAACTGTTAGTCTCAGCAATCAACATATAAAGAAATTAAGCATGTGTCTCAGTTTATTACAAAATTATGATGAAAGTGAGGAATATAAAAAGGGACCAAAAGCTCACATTTATTTTGATTTTGAATTCCGTGCAAATCTTCTCCAACATTTTTTTGGACCGTGCACTGTTAGCCACAAGACATACATTGCTAACTTCCCAGAAGTTGAAACATGTAAGCACATATCAAACAAAAGGGTAAGCACATGGAGTTACTAACCCTTGATTGGTAAATTGCTCTCGATCATCTAATATTAGAATTACTTCATACACATCCTCAAACTTCTCCCCAAAGCTCAGAGGTGGAATACTTAAGACATTCATATCTGCTTTTAGATCATTTGAACTTGGCCTCTGCACATATAATATATCCAAATATCAAACAGGATGATGGCAGCTCTTCAAGCAAGTTATAAATAGAACTCACGACAAATGGGAAAATAGTAACTCAAACTATAAATGTTTTCCTTAGGCTCTTGCAGTCATAAAGAAGAACTATTTACTAGACGCCACATCTAATCAAAATGTTCTTTTCACTCGGCCATTTTTTAGTAATGTTTCTTTCAGGTAAAACTTTTGTTCGTGCTTCATATCCCATTATGACATATCTGAGACACAGATGCAAGATAACCGAATTGGAATTCACATACAGAGGAAGAACAGGCCCTCAAGGTCAAGGTACACAAGTTCAGCCTATCTCCACCATCTTTACTTAATTGAATCCTAGTGCTTCGCACTCCATCACAAGCTTCTTGCCCTGAGCATTTATAAAAGAGGAATCATATCATGTCCCACAATTTTGAAATATGAAAAAGATTCCCTCAGTTATTTATTGAGTAATATTCAAATAGACAGTAGCTAACCATAAACTTGATCTTCACGAAGACGACACAAGACTGCTGGCAAAAGTGATGAAATCTCCTTCTTCTTCGAAGTTTCAGAGACTTCAACAAAAGCAGAAAGAACTTGTTCCTTCGAGTACCCCATGCGAGTACACTACAAAAAGTAAATCAAGAGGTTAGGGGTACAAAACTCTCAGAGCGAACAGGACAAAAGTACACATTAGAAAGTTCAGGAGCACAAGGAGTAAACATAAAATTCCACAGTAAGTAATAATGCTTAATGGTCTAAGAGGCTAACACTTGAATCTGAAACTACAATTGTTGGTAAATCAAATGGAATTTTAATCAGAAACTACAAGAATCTTAATTGTCAGATACCCTTTCAAGACAATCAAGAGGAACATCAATGGATTTTTTCCGATGAAAATCAGCCTTTTCAGTTGTCTCTTCTGTACACAAATCGCATAACTTCTGAACAGATGCATTTTGTGTGTCTGGTTGAGAAAGCCTTTCCACATCAACCAAATTTTCTAAGGGATCTTCCATTTTAGATTTCATTAGACATTCACGTGCTGCTTCCTTGCCTTCTGGTGTCAGCATATATCTGCAAAAAGGAAGTTGGCATTTCATACATAAAACACCAATGAAAACACTAATCACCAAGCACGTGCAGCCGACCAAATAATGTTAATAATAAGTTGAAGGAAAAGTCTGGTATCATTCAAAAGGAATAAAATAAACAAGATAAAATTCTTACTTCGCCGGACAACTTGATTTCACAACAAATCCCTTTTTTATCAATGTAGACATGCAGGTCCATCCACTATACCAGTCCCTTGGAGAACTTCCAAATTGGCTAGGTTTCCCTTTTCCTTTCTCCAGCCTAATAATGTATAAGTCCAGATTTTAAACCACCAATCAAGCTCCAAAATCACTAAAAGTAATAAGAAGCAAAATTTTAATTAAATGTCAAAAATCAACATACATAATAGGCGCCCGTGAGAGTCCACTTGCTTCAGTTGCATCAATAAGATCCTGCTTATGCATAAATTCATTCCCATCTACGGTCTCCCTATTGACAAGGTATATCCATCCGATACTTCATATGTATAGAGAAAAAACATGTGACAGTAACCATTTAACACGAAGATAAACATAAATACCTGTATAGAGTAATCAATAATGCATATGCCACTGAATTCTTTTGGGGCAAATAACGTTTGTTTCCTTTAGTTTTTTTTACCTAGATATGCATTAAATAAGAATCGGAAAAGAAGAAAATCGAACAATTCAAGAGGATCAATGCATAAAAAGAAGTTCAAAAAAATATGTACCCTTTCTAGTTAATTCTTCTGGTTCTGAACTTCCTGAACCACCGTCAAAATAGCCACGCAAAAGCACCAAAATCCATTTCCCAACACCTCTATCCACAAACATAATCCAGACAAGTAAAAAAATGTTTGCGAAATGAAATAGCTAGACCAACTACATCAAATTCAGATTTTGAAAATTACCCAAAAACCCACACCAAGAAAAAGAAACAGCCCAAAGAAATCAACTTTACTTTCTTTGAAAATGCAAATGATCAGATAAAAAAAGAAGGGGATACTTGATGTCACTGAGATCTTTGAGTGTCTTGATGGGATGCTGAGCGTTGCAAATGTTGTTGTATGCCTTTGAAACAGTCATGTTAGTGTTTTCTTTTATCCCCTTGGGTTTATCGGCCAGCTCTTGCCTCTTTTGCAACAAGTAATTAGCTAGTTCCTCATTATCAGGACACATTACTCGCCTATTTTTCTCCATCTCCTTTTTTCTGGGTTTTTGCTCAATTGTTAAGGCTAGGGGTTCGAGTTTTTTAAGGTTTTTCGAATTGGGGATTGCGGGGAAGAGAGAGGTGCGAAGAGATTTGAAAGTGAGCAGAAAATCGCGCCACCTTATTTCTGGGCTTACATTCAATAGTTTTATGTTCAAACTTAGTCTTCCATGGCCGGGCCAGGATCGTAGTTTTCCTTTCAGCCCAACTTTAAAATGTTAAAATACATTTTTTAATTTTTTTAATTAAATACTTTTTATTTAATAAACTAAATGTTATTACAAATCAAAGTGGATAAACACCTCAAAAAATATATTATCTAGATAAAATGAAAAATATTTGGGTAAACTATATATTTAATCACCCAACTATTATTTTAGTTCTATTTAGATAACTAAATTATTATTTTTAAAATCATACCTAAAATTATATTTTGATTCTGTATTGATCACTTGTCATTAAAAAATTAATGTTATTATTAACGAATTACTATAATATAATGTCATATCATCGTTGAAAAAAATAAAAATGTCATATCATCATTAAACAAAATAAAATAAAAGGTACTACATTAACAATTCCACCTGTTTTATTTATATATTGGAAAGGAATATTATAGATTTAGGTTCTTATCAAGGAACTGACAGAACTTAGCCTGCAACAATCAAAGTTACACTAATCAACCTTTCTTAATTACTTCATATCTGAATTTCACAATTACTCATCTAAAGACGCGCAGTGAGTGGTTTGATATTGTAAAGCCACCATCAACCATAAGATTGTCCCCACTTATATACCCTGCTTCATCACTTGCCAAGAACAGAACCGCATTTGCTACATGATCCACTGTCAATTCCACCCCACTCAAGTTCGCATTTCTCCCGATGAAAGAACGAAAACCTTCTCGCACGTCCTCGGTTCTTTCATCGTCGTGCAAGTGAGCGAAAGCCAAGTCGGTCGGGACGGCATACGGGGAAACACAATTCACACGTATCCCATATTTGCCTAACTCAGCTGCAACGTTCTTGGTCAGGCCTAACACAGCATGTTTGGAGCTTGTGTATGAGTGCGGTCCGAGTCCTCCAATGACACTCGAAACACTACACAGAGAAACTATGGAACCCTTTCCACGAGGGATCATAATCCTAGCAGCGTGCTTCATTCCGATGAAGACACCCTTCACGTTCACATCCATCACCTTCTCAAACTCAGATAAATCATAGTCACGGATATCACCAAACGGTGGACCTGATAATCCGGCATTGTTGACCACGATATCGAGCATACCAAACTTGTCTACTGCAAAGTCGACCGCGCACCGAACTTCTTCCTCCTTTGTCACATCGCAATGGAAAAAGCAAACGTCCAGGCCGTCCCCAAGGGATTGACAGACTTGGAGGCCAAGGCTGTCTTGCACATCAACTATGCAGACTTTGGCACCATGCTTGTGAAATAGACGAACAATGCCCTCGCCGATGCCAGATGCTCCCCCAGTGACCAATGCCACTTTCCCCGCCAATCTGTCAAAAGAAAAAAATAAATGCATGCTTAACCAATTATCAATCATTTGTAAGCCAGTTAACTGAATTGGTAGAGCACAATTTCACTCAAGGTTAAAACAGATAGAAACACATCAAAATTTTGACTAAAAATAAACTTAAACTACTGGTATCAGTTTAAGATCTCATCTGTGCATATGGATAACCATGATTTCACTTCAGGAAGAGATCAATTCTATTCCTCAATTCAGATTCAACATAGATTGTAAATGGTGGTTCAAAACTCAAAAATGGGGGGGTCAATTCAGCAAGAAATCTCAAAGAAAGTATAAACAACAGGCCGGAGGTTTTGACATATATGGATCTTAACACAATTTACCACCAAATTTATTATATTTCATATAAACCAATAACTGAATGACACAAATCCATGCTTTGCAGGACTTAATTGCCGGCACAAGATAGTACTTGTGAACCAAAAACTCAATTATACTTGAGGCCTAGTAAACCTCGACACTGATCCAATAGGCAAGCAGGAAAACAACATTGACACAATCAGTGAAGCATTCATGTTTAAAAGGAATCGGAAAGGGTCAGCAAAGCTAGAAACTGAATTCCTGTAAAAGAAAAAATAAAAGCTGAAAAAGAGGGTGAAAAGGTTTACCTTTGGGTGGGCAGTGATGAATCCAATGAGTTGTTGCCGCTAGTAGCCATGGCAGGAGCTTCACTTCAACAACAGTAAGTTCTTCCTATATTATTAAACCGCTGCCTTCTCTTTCCTCCTGGCTTTCTTTTGTTTGCTTATGAAGCTTTGGGCATCACTGTTTTTAGCAGAAAAAAATGAGGACAAAGAGAAATGGATATGAGTAACCCAATGAGAGGAGGAGAGGGAATCCCAATTTGCTTTGGTGGAAAATGACAGCGCAAAAACCTCCCAAGGGAAACGTTATAAATAATTTTGTTTTTGTCTAACGTATTTTACTAGTGGCCCTGGTTCATATATTAAAGCGAGTGATACCGGAATTTAGTGGAAAATGCAATGTACTGAAAACTCCACGACAGTTCCACCCAGACAAATGTATTGTTCCTTAATAGACAGTTGGATAGACACATGTAAGAATGGACGCGTGTAGGCGGGGAAGTAGTCCTTTTAAAAATTAAAATTATTATATATTTTATATTAAAATTTTATTTTTATTCTCTTATAATTTGATAAATTTATTTTATGTTAAATTTTAAAAATTTATTTCGTTAATATAAAATATTATATTCATTCTTAAATACATGCATCATATTTGCAAATGGAAGCGTATCTGTTTTTTATTAGTGTGAAATCCATAAAAAGAAAGTGTACACTTTCTAAAGTAGTATAATAGTGATAGAACATAGCACACTATTAAGATATTCCAAACTTCCAAAAAAATTAATGAGAATTGAGAAGAAGGGGGCGATTTCACCCAACGGACCCTTTTTTTTTAAATTCTACCATTCTAACACATGTTGATCAATATTTCCTAAAGTAGTGTCTTTTCGATTGAGGTGACACAAAGGCACATCTTCGGGGACGCGCTTTATCTGGGTTTATGTTGAGTCGGATGCCACGTGTGAAAGACGCATCCCCGGAGATGCGCTTTATGTGGGTTCTGCTTAATCAAATGCCACGTTGGTATTTCTTTTAAAAATAAATATTTTATTTTTATTTTTATTATAAATAATTAATATATTATGTAAAGTATTTCGATTATAATTTAAGAATTATCGAATGTATTTTTTAAATGTGTGTTAAAGGTGGAGCGAATTTAGATTTTAGTGTTATATGTTTAAGGGACTTTGGCATTCACCCATTTCACGCGACATTAATCGGATGGAATAATAGATGAAAATCAGCTTTGATCTTATTGTAGTTGTAGGAAAAATGTATGAAATTATAATATTACACGTATTGTTATATATCTATTTTTTATTATCGATCTATTAATTTTATCACTTAATTATTTAAATGTTATCAATCTATTCATTTGTTATCAAAATTTAAAGAAAATATTGATGCATAAGTTAATAAAATTAGTATAATTACCCATGTAATCTTCAATAGTTACATATTTTATCAATTTAGTCTTACTTTTAATTTGTTTAATTTAACATTTTTTCTCTACTTAGAAGGTGGAGTTATTAAAATATTTTAAAATTAATAATTAATTTTTTATAATAAATAATATTAATTATTACATTAAATAAATATCATTAAAAAAATTTAAAAAATTAAAAAAAATTATTTAGGTGTACATACATTGAGAAATTATAGAAAATGCAATTACATTTAAATATTAGAAACAAAAACATTCATTTAAATAGAATATTAATTACATAAGGGATAACGGTTATGTGATGATAACAGAGTTGGACATTTTTTTTCTATTGTGCCCGATGTTTCTACAATGCCCACATCGTTTTTGTTCTGTTGACTTCTCCCGAATATCCATATCACAATGTATTCTAGTAGATTTTGAACGACCTGAGTCACTCAAAAGCAATGGATCTGATACAATTATAAGCCAAGTTTGAATCTCATCTGGGTCTCTTTCGTTTCCTATGGACGGAAACTCAAATTCATATACCTTGAATACTTGTGAAAGTTGGTATACGGGATCAACATAATTTTTGTAGTCCAAATGCGAATGTGAGCAAGCTATAATGACATGAGAGCATGGATATTTGAGTGCTTGAAAGAAACCACAATCGCACCACCTCTTTTACAGATTAACTCTGAAAGAGTTAGCTTTAATCCCTTGCAGCGGACGTGGCATTTCGGTTACACGAAACGATTCACGGGTGCGAGAAAAATTTGTAACCAACATCTCATTTGATGCAACCATTTTTTTCTATAAATCAGCTACTAGTCTTGGGTGGTAAATATGGTCGTTTTGCATCCAAGTAAGAGCTTGTCCATCGATCTTTGCAAAGAGTTTACCCAAACGAAAATAAGTCGTTTGGACCAACGCCATGACTAGTAAATGACGCGTCCCCTTTAAGGTTGAATTTATTGCTTCAGCCAACTTGGTTGTCATATGACCATAGCGATACTCCCCGTCATATGCATTTGTCCACATTTCTTTGTTGATGTCCATAATGTACTCGCACCCCTTCTTATTTTTGCCAAACAACTCTTGTAGCATAGACTCAAACCTTTGAGGTAAGAGTTCATAACCTAAGCCATTAGGAATATGTAATAGTTAATATGAAGTATAAATAAGTAATACGAAAATGATAGAAAAATTGGGAAAAAGTAACATACCCATCCGCACGACTAACTGACGTTCATCGTTCTTCTTGTATTTTTCGTAATAGTTTGCAGCAATATGACGAACACAATAACGATGTTGAACATGTGAAGGTCTATACATTGTACCCAAAGACTCCATTGATGCTTTTATCCCTACTCCTCGGTCTGAAATAATGCATACTCGTTCCCTGGTGACAACATGTAAACGTAAATTTTTAAGGAAAAAAGCCCAGGACTCAGTGTCTTCTCCTTGAACGAGGGCAAATGCAACAGGAAGAATATTGTGGTTTTCATCTTGGACCACAACCAATAATAAAACTTGCTTGTATTTCCCATATAAGAAAGTACCATCATTTTGGACAATTGGTTTACAGTACTTGACTACATTAATACACTGAGGGTAAGTACAAAAGATACGGTAGAATTGGCAGCGATCGCGAACCACTCGATCATTCACGTAATGATGTTGAGTTTCAAACTCAACAATTGTCCCGGGATTGAGTCTTTGCACAACATGAAACCAACTGGGCAGCTCGTTGTAAGAGGAATCACATTCGCCATGAAGTTTGCAAATGGCATTATGTTTTGTCAACCAAGCTTTTTTATAGGAGACAGTGTTTCCATATTGTGACTGTATAGCAAAAATCAACACTGCAACAACTATATGAGAGATTTGCTTCACAATGGGCATGATTGCTTGGCAAATAATGTTGGATTCCAAGTTGGGATGATCTTGGTTTGTACCTCTTGCGCAACACGTATGAGGACTGTTGTATCTGGTTAGTTCCCATAAGTTGTTCTTCTTCTTCCTCTTGTATACATGGGCCATCCATTGACATCTGTTGTCACGTTGGACACAGTAGCAAACATATTTCTCCGTGGTAGATCGATAAACTCGGGACTGAACTGAGTTACAAATATTGTAACTCTTTATTGCCATCATTTCTTCCTCCTTTGATGCGAACTCCATTCCAATATGTAAATCATCGTCGTTAACTGATGACTGAAGTCCATAGTTACCAACATCAGGAAGATCTGAAAATTCAGGCTCGTACATTTCATCATAATCAGCATCATACATATGTGCAGGAAGTTCGGTTGGTGTTGTATTTATCGGAACGTCATCCTCATCATTATCAGAATGTACGTTAAACTGTGGTGAGTCAAGTTCAACGAATAATCCCATTTCAGCACCTGGATCCCGAAGAGGTTCTTCTGGTGGAGATGAGGGTTCCTCCGATAATCCAATGTTGAGGCCAAATAAGTTCCCGCTTGCGTGTCCTCCCCTTGAACTTGTGGCCATTGTATCATGTGGGATGTGAATAGACTGTCATCTCGATGGCATTTCCATATATAAGTCGAAAACATTGGCAGATGAATGTCTGCCCCTTGAAGTAAAAGAGATGTTGCCATATGGATTATTGGTGAAGCCACGTGGGTTGAGATCATAAACAGTTGTTGATGAATATCTTCCTATTGAATTTGATGGCATAACATCTGGCGTTGGATCCGCCATTAATGATGTGAAATCATTACAGATCAGTTGCGTCGGGCTATCAACTTGATCAACATGGTATGCAATGCCAAAGTGAGAGGAATATGAGAGACTACGAGAAGCACGAACCTCAATAAAAGTGTAATACATTTTAATAAGAGATTATTAACTCCCCATATGAGCATCAACCATCATAGAAACATCATCATCATTGGAAAGCTGAAATGATGTATACATGAGTGGAAAAAGTTCAGTAGGAAATCTATACTGAAGTGAAGATAATCTTTTCCGGCCAGCTACACGAATCTTTAACGAAATTTTTGTGATTAACTCCTCAAGAGTGATATTTCTCTTCAAGGTTAAGGGGATATAATGATCTGACTCAAAAACAACCCCCACTTCAGCTTCTTTAATTTCTCCATCATATAAAACAATAGCAGAAAGATGACTCATTTTCAGAAAATAGAGAAATGAGATTTTTGAGAAATTTAGAGTTTGAGAATTTGAAAGCTTGTGAACTGAAGTTTGTTTTGAAAGTCCATAATATGTTTCATATAATAGTGTCTATAACCGGGGTACTATTCACATGAAGGCGCATTCTCGGGGGGGTGCCTTCGATTATTTTGTTAGAGAATATGTTATCATTGCCCTATTATGTCACTCATGTCCCTCGGGGTACTATTCATGTCAGTACCTATTATTTCTGAGGGGACTTGGCAAAGTGGTGAAAACGCGTTCCCGGTGACGCACCTTCAATTATTTTGTCAGAGAATATGTTATCATTGCCCTATTATGTCACTCATGTCCCCCGGGGGCACTATTCATGTCAGTACATATTATTTCTAAGGGGACTTGGCAAAGTGGTGAAAGCGCGTTCCCGGGGGGGCGTCTTCAATTATTTTGTCAGATAATATATTATCATTGTCCTATTATGTCACTCATGTCCCTCAGGGGCACTATTCATGTCAGTACCTATTATTTCTAAGGGGACTTGGCAAAGTGGTGAAAGTGCATTCCCGGGGGCGCGCCTTCAATTATTTTGTCAGATAATATGTTATCATTGCCCTATTATGTCACTC